ACTCGAATCCATGATCCGCCTCTCAGAAGCACACGCACGCATGCGGCTATCGAGCGAAGTACTCGCCAGCGACGTGGAGGAGGCTGTACGACTGATCCGGTCAGCGCTTAAACAGGCCGCCACGGACGCTCGCACGGGGCTGATTGACATGGGATTGCTGACTGAGGGCACGAGTGCGAGCGAGAGGCGGCTACGGGAGGATTTGAAGAGGGAGGTTTTGAGAGTTGTGGAGGAACTTGGGGGTCGTGGTGCGGGTGCGGGTGGGGCCAGGTGGTCGGAGGTACTGAGACGGCTGAATGAGGGGGGTAGTATGGAGGTTGAAGGGCCAGAGTTTGCGGATGCGGTACGGTCGTTGGAGGCGGAGGGCACTATTAGTGTTGTTGGGGAAGGGGCGAGGAGAAGTATACGGCGGATTGGGGTTGTGTGAATAGTAGGGGAGGTCTGTTGTTTATTGTCACTTTGTTTCGACTCTTTTCATATACTTAACGGGATACGGCATGTTGCAGAAGGGAGAAAGGGGTTACATTTCACTAATGTCGCTGATGTTGTTCTACTACTATACTTCTTATGTTTCAATGAATGGGCGTTTTAACCCTTTTTTTTCCTTTTCTGACTGCATGTTCTTTCCCTCCTTTCTAAGCCATGGACGTAGGTCTTTTGGAACGAACCCATCGAGTAACTACTGTGTACCGTCCGTAGTTAAACAAGCCGATGATGTCATCGCCGTCACGGATATAAGTTAATCCATTCCCCGATTAAGGTTTTCACGTGTGTACACGCTGTTACCTGATTGGGCCTTGTGTACCGGTTCGCAGATCTGGCTTCTCACGTGACAGTTGACTCAGCTACTCAGCGCTGGGCCCAGGCCCCGAGCACGATCAAATGGCCGTAAATAATTACTCGCGCGGTTGTATTGTGTATGATATGGATGATCTCTTTGCATTCATTGAAATGAAGGAATTGAATTGCTATATATATTTTTACATTCAATGGGTGCAATTATTTTATCTATGTTAATGTATATGTTATGATATTATTATTTGTGTAATGCAAGGTTGCGTTGGATTAAGCTTGAAGCTCCACATCCTGAACATCATCCCAGCCCCCAGCCAGCCTCTTCAGAAGCTCTCTCCTCGTTCATTCTCGTCACTCTCCTCCTCTCCTCTTCTTCTTTTTCTTCTTATTTTCCCCTCCCCTTCCCCCCTTCTCACCAACACAATCCCGCCGTCACAATGAGGTAAAATTTTGCTCCCAATTGACCCCCCCCCCAACTACCCTCAGGACTTACATCAGTCTCAAAATACTAACAACCCGTCCAGATTCGGCCACCAGCTCCGCACCTCCCTCATAAAAGAATACTACTGGCACTACATAGCCTACGATGATCTTAAAGCCGCCCTGAAAACCCCCTACGAATCCACCCCCGCTACCACCCCCGGCGCCTCCACTGATGCTCAAGAAAACGCACCCGCAAAGCCCAAACGCAAGCCATGGACAGAGGAGGACGAGAGGCGCTTCGTCGCCCTCCTGGAGAGCGAGCTGGATAAAGTCTTTACGTTCCAGAAGTTGAAGAGCGATGAGATTGTCGCGCGGATTGTGCAGAGTGAGAAAGAGGTTAATGACGTCGTAGCTATGTTGAGGGCTTCTGTTGGTGGTGGTGGTGGTGGCGGCGGTGGCAGCGGTGGTAGTAGTACTGTCACTGCTGTGTCTGGAGCAAGGAGAGAGTCGCAGATTGGGGGCAGTGGGGCTGATGCTGCTGCTGCTGGTAATGGTGCTATTGGTGGTGCTGCTGCTGGTGGAATAGCTCCCACCGATGAGGATTTCTTGCTACTAGAGGAGGATCTAAGTGATATTATTGCCGACGTGCATGATTTGGCGAAGTATGTGCAGCTAAATTATACGGGGTTTCAGAAGATTATTAAGAAGCATGATGTAAGTCTGTCTTTTTCTTTGGTCCCTTATTCCTTCGGCAGTGCTTTTTGTCTTGATGGGTAACAAGAAATTCCCGTTAACATATCTTTTTTGCGGGGTGTTAGAAACAAACGCAATGGCACCTGAAACCTGTGTTCGCAGCCCGGTTAAAAGCGAAACCGTTTTTCAGAGACAATTACGATGCATTTGTGGTTAAATTATCCAAGTTGTATGATTTGGTTAGGAACAAGGGCGCTCCCGTCACTGGGGATAGTGCCGCGGGTGGATCGCAGCAGAATTTCATCCGGGAGACAACTAAGTATTGGGTGCATCCAGATAATATTACAGAATTGAAACTCATTATTCTGAAGGTCTGTTTGGCGTTCTTGTAACCCGTTTTTCATTTTTTCGTTATTCTGTGTCTCCGCGTGTCGAAACTAACAACTTTGTAGCATCTTCCCGTTTTGGTATTCAATCCTAGGAAAGAATTCGATGAACGAGATTCAGCTATCTCGTCTGTCTACTACGATAATCCCAATACCTGGGAGCTGTATACGGGGCGGCTGAAAAAGACTGAAGGAGCAGAGGCGATCCGACTACGATGGTATGGCGGGATGGAAACTGATCAAATTTTTGTAGAGAGGAAAACACACCGAGAGGATTGGACCGGGGAGAAGTCGGTCAAAGCGCGGTTTCCGATTAAGGAGAAATATGTAAATGCGTTCTTGTCTGGGGAAATGACTGTCGAAAGTGTCTTTGAGAAAGCCAGGAAAGATGGGAAGAAGAGTGAGCAACAGATTGCTGATTGGGAACAGCTCGCGCGGGAGGTACAGTATCGTGTAATTACGCGGAAACTCGAACCGGTTACGAGATCATTTTATCATCGGACTGCGTTCCAGCTTCCTGGAGATGCGAGAGTGCGGATATCATTGGATACTGAACTGACCCTGATCCGAGAGGACAATATGGATGGCCGCATTAGGTCTGGTAATAATTGGCGGCGAATGGATATTGGGATCGACTATCCCTTTCGACAACTACCCGCGCAAGATGTCGAGAGGTTTCCCTACGCTATTTTGGAAGTGAAGCTGCAGACGCAAGCTGGTCAGGACCCTCCGCATTGGATCCGGGAGTTAATCTCCAGTCATCTAGTGGAAGCGGTCCCCAAATTCAGCAAGTTTATCCATGGAACTGCAAATCTATTCCCTGACCATATTAACCTACTCCCATTTTGGATGCCGCAAATGGACGTTGATATTCGAAAGCCCGTCACCCGCGGCTTCGGCATCGAACGACCTGTCCAGGCTAGTCCATCGACAAGTGAAACGGTGATTGACGATGACTATGACGATGAGTCCGACGAAGAAGGCGACGGCGACAATGAACCCGAATCGCGCAACGGAGTCCATCCCCACCAAAATAACCGCCCACCAACATCCCTGAGCGAAGCCAACGGCATCCATTTCCAATCCCCGCAACCCCACCACCAAGGCGAGGGCGAAGACGACCCTTCCCGGGACCCAAACATCCCCGATGCCACAGGAAACGCTCTCGACATTGAAGAGCGTATCGCAGCCCAGCAAAATGTCATTGATATCGGCGGTGATGACTACCCACTCTACGACTCCGAAGACGAGTCGAGCGGGCAGGACGATCTCGAGGAGGCAAGGAAAATTGGCGGTTGGTATTATCGAGTCAAACTGGCGAAACATTATCTGCGCGCTGCGGGTAGATCTGCCCTGAATGCCGCAATGTTTATTGCCCCCGTCCCAAGACCGACAGCAATGCCGGTCGATAACGGCGTCAGGGGTGTGGGGAGGTTCATACCGCCTGGTGAAATGCAGATTAAGCGGTTCAAGGCGCCGAAGGGGAAACGTAAGTTTATGTTTTATGATAACTCTCCCTTTTACTCTTCCCTTTTTTATTATTATCGTCCAAAAATCAAATCCTCCTATTAACCCAATCCCGTCTTCCCCTCCGTAACAGGAATCCACGTCCCCGTCCGCGTCGAACCAAAAGTCTACTTCGCCGCCGAACGCACCTTCCTCTCCTGGCTCGAATTCTCCATCATCCTCGGCTCCATCGCCGCCGCCCTCCTCAATTTCGGCCGCGACACTGTCACCCTCGCGTCGTCGTGGGCGTTTACCGTTCTCGCCTGCTTGTCGCTCATGTATAGCTTGCTGTTGTATATGTGGCGGGTTGATAAGATTCGAAAGCGGAGGGATGTGAAGCATGTTTATCATGAGAAGTGGGGTCCGACGGTACTTTGTGTGGGTTTGCTAGTGGCTGTTTGTATTAATTTTGGGTTGAGGGTTAGGAGTGGGGGGTTGTGAGGGTGTGACATGTGTTGCAGTGCAGATCTTCTACTTTTGAAATCGGGTATAGGGAAAAGCAGAGTGCGATGGCTACGTGGGAGGACATAGAAATATATATATATATATATATATATATAGAAGACTTTACTTTGTTACTGGCGAATGTGGAGTTTTCTGGTTGCATTGATGAATTCCTCCTACAACCAGCCCCAGCCCACTTCTTTTGGAGCTTTCCTTTTTGTCTTTTATTCTTCTTCTCTTCTTCTTTTTTTTTTTTTTCGCTCTGTAGCCCTGTCCAATCTGTAACCATTTTGCATTATGTACTGCACATATCTTTATCTACGAAAGCGTCTACGGAGTACGCATCTGATGTATAGCATATATATGAATGACTAGCTCATGACGAAAATGGAGAACACAACAGCCGGCTACACCATGAAACGTGGTTGTATTACATCTATTTTCATTTTCGTTGCTTCTCTTCATGTTTCCTTCGTCACAATGTCACTACTCTCCAGTCGACAGGGAGCCAGGACTCTCTGCCCACCATCCAAAACAAACAGGTCCAACAAATGCAGGCTACCTTCCTGAACTGAAAAGTACTACATAACTATCCCCGTGAAATTGATGTCTAGAAAAGAACTAAAGAATGAAAATAGAATAGCAATGGTAATCCCTATAATATAAATAAAATAACCGTATAAAACGACATGATCAAGAAAAAGGTAAAACAAAAAGGGAAAATTAAACTCTTCTTCTTTTCCACCTTGCCCCCTACCGCTTCTTAATGCTCACATCTAGATTACCCACTAACCACACCGTCACAAACACGCTAAATAGGCCTGCGGCGATCGTTAGTGGTTTACGGAGTATCGCGAGTGCGGGATAGTCGTATGTCACCTATAAAGGTAGTTGGTTAGCAATTCTTGTCCAATCGACCTTTAGATGCAAGAGGGGTTAGATAAAGAAGAAAGGAAAGGTGGTTTGTCCATACAATAAGATGTCCCTCCCTTGCCTCATCTGCCACATTCGTCGTCCGCAACGTCAACACGGTCCTCCCCACCGTGTCCATAAACGTCTTGTGCAACCCAATCTCCGACTCGACCATAAATGGCATCCCAACCCCATCAGCTAGTTCATACTTCACATCTCGCGCACCCTCAGGGAGAATCACGCGCAGCTGGACTTTCTCATACTGCACCCCCTCAGGCACTTTCGGACCCTCCAGGAAAGGTACCCTAAGCACATACGACTCCCCGCCAGCCTTGCGCAGGAATGATGACAGTGCATTGTTCCAGCCAATGCGGAAGCTGTATTTCCACCCGCCAAAAACGGGGTAGCGCGGCTTGAGCTCCAGCAGCGCCTCGCGCTTGTTCAGACCAGGGAGGAAATGGCTTGTCGAGACGTTGCCGATGTCGTCAATGAAATAGGCGTCGACGGAGCCTGGGCGTAGTGGGATGCGTAGATCGCTCATGGCGGATGAGGGTAGGTTCTGATAGGACTTTATCGCCCATTCGACGCGGGAGAAGTGGTTGGAGAGCTTGGCGCCGTCGTTGCGGAGCCAGAGACGCTCCTCAGTTGCAAGGTTGCCGCCCCAGTGCGAGACTTCGACGTCGCGCTCGAGGAGGGAGCAGGTTATGACTGGTTTGGTGAATTCGTAGCGGACGGTTATGATGGATCCTGCGGTGCCGGGAAGAACTTTAGAGGTCTGGTAGGGTCCGTATGTGTAAGTGCTGCCTTGTCGTTCTGGGTCTGCGCCGGATTTCAGGCCGGAAGTTTCTGTGTAGTCTGGTACTTCGGGAGCTAGGGAATTTGATCTTTGTCTTCTGGTTGTCGGTTGTGTAAGCGGACCGGGCGTAGGCCGGAAAGGAGTAGGTGAGGTATTGTTTGTCTTGTTGTTCAATAGCCGCGGGGAGAGGGTCGAGGGCTTTAAGGATGTAATAGGATATGCTCAGGGTGATTTGAGAGGAGGTTTTCAGAGCTTCGGGAAAATGAATGACGAAGTATTGATTTGGGCTATAACGGTAAAAATTGTTAGATTGCGGCTTCATAACTGAGCTGTTTACGAAACCAGTGCACACCCAAATACACCGTTCAGAAGCACCAATTGGAAACAAACCTCGACTGCAACGTCTCCGTAGCATCCACCAGAAATTTGCCATGCGATAGCGCATTCTTATCTCGTACTTCCAGTCCTCCAACTCTATCGATTATGTCCGATGCGAAAGGGAGGAAGTACCGCTCCTGCGGTTCCTTTCCAGTGTTCTCTACCACAACATTGACGATTTCCCGCACGTAACCTTTCTCAAGATTTATATTTCTGAGTAGATTGACATTCTTGAACACCTTGGGGGGGCTGAAATCGGTCGGTAGGACTAGTCGCGATGAAGTATATGTGGTGTCATTGGCAGTTGCGGCACGTACGCTCGAGATGGAGGATGTCAACACACCGCAGAGCAGAGCTGCAGCAGATAAGAGCCTCATGGTGGTAGGGCTTGCTACCGGCAGACCAATTTACGGTCCCGGGCACTGTAGGTATCGCAATGAGAGCTGGCGCGACAAGTAATGGGGCTGTTGGAGCTGGTGATGATGTCGTTGGCGGCGAATGGTTTATGTGTCCGTCTGGAGCTACTAAGGCGGGCGAAGCGGCCACAAGCGCAGGGAGCTGCAATCTATAAATACCAAGGCGATGGGGGTTTAGCTCACTACAACTATGTTTGTATCTGCTGTATGCAGTACTTAATTGTATAAATCATTTCTTACTACAACAGTATGATGAGTCTTTCAATTTCCCAGCATGCTCTGCATTTTGAAGACTCTGGCTGGGTACATTGAAGGTTTCGTTGTTCTGTTCGTTGTTCTGTCAGGAAAGATGGAAAGATCCTGTTGTTATGAACTCACACAAGTATTCAGTGTTGTTCTGCCCGTTATTAACAGTGATATTGCCAGTTATTTAAGGACAAAAACAACAGACTCAGGAACCTGAATTCCTTGTCTTGCAGGAGAGAACAGTGTGTAAGATCAAGCCATATGTAGTAGCTTAGTGTGTTTCTGCCCATAGATTCCACTGAAGGTACAGTCTGTGCCTGCACAAGCATTTCAGTTGGTGCTACATATTCCCAGCGTCAAACATTCTCAACGCTTAAAGCTTCGTTGGTAAAGAGTAGATTCGGGGTTGCTTAAGTTTAACTTGGGGTTGAGCGTCGTCCTTTAAATTTGATCCAGCAGCGCGCCAAGAAGCAACAACCGCGCGCGTTGCGTTAAATATACGGAATATTCCGCCACTAACCAAGACGTCACTCGCATGGCAAGGCATTCAATAAACCCATTAGGTTATTCCCATTCATGTAGCCAAGAGGGCATTCTAGGGCTCCCTCCTTCAATATGCCTACGCCACGAACCGCGGCTGCGCTATGGAGATGGTCGTATTCGCGCTTAAGAGTCCCAACCCAGCCAAGACATAGATCGATTCACGGACGGAGACATTTCGGGGAGACAAGAAAATACCTAAAGGTCTCGGAAGAGGTACAGGATGCCGTGGCTTCATCGAGACCCGTCGTAGCTTTGGAAACGACCATTTACACGCATGGTACGCCGCTTGTTGAACTTCTCTCTACTCCCACAACTGTAACTAAACCCATACCTAGGATTCCCATATCCCGATAATGTCGCTCTCGCGTCCCGCCTGGAGTCAATTGTACGCCAGGGAGGCGCCGTGCCTGCTACTATAGGCGTACTCGACGGCGTTGCTAGGGTGGGAATGACACCCGATGAGCTTGCCGAGCTTGCATCTTCATCCCAGACCCAAAAGGTTTTGAAGGTCTCCCGTAGAGACCTGGGATATATCTGTGGCCTGGTAACTCAGCTACCGCCTAACTCCAGCGTGCCACGACCGCTGACCGTTTTCTAGGGTCTGAGCGGCAAGAAAATGAACGGGGGCACTACAATTGCCGGTACCATGGTGCTGGCTCATACTGCGGGGATTAAAGTCTTTGCTACTGGCGGTCTCGGTGCGTTGTGCGATGTTGCAAAGGATATTAATATGATTACAGGCTCTAACATCCAACAGGAGGTGTACACCGTGGCGGGCAAAACTCTATGGATATTTCTGGTGAGACTTGCAGCTTGACTTTTGCTTGAACAGTACTAACACATGCCATACGCAGCCGACCTGACTGAGCTTGGGCGAACACCTGTTGCACTCATCAGCTCGGGCTGTAAAAGCTTTTTGGATATCCAGCGGACGCTTGAATATCTCGAGACTGAAGGAGTACTAGTCGGAGCTTTTGCAGATGGGCGCGAGGGAAACGTTGATTTCCCTGCCTTCTACACCAGAAACAGTGGAATAAGAGCGCCGAAAGTCATCCACGATGAAGCAGAAGCTGCTGCTATCATATGTAAGTTATTGATAACAGTTAACTTTGCTTTCTCTTGTGCTAGCTATATTTTGTTTCCTCCCTCTCTAGTTACTCTATTCGAAAAGTGGTCTGGATTTCGAAAACTCCCCAATTGACATACTTCTAGATGCACAGTCACGTTTAAACATATCCTCAGGATTGGTTTTCGCCAATCCAGTGCCAGAGAAATTTTCATTCCCGAAACAGGAGATTGATGATATAATTGAACAGGCCCTTGAGCTCTCTGAGCTTGAAGGGATCCATGGCAGTGATAATACCCCTTTTGTTCTAGCTAAAATTAGAGAGTTGAGTGGCGGAAAAAGTGTGGCTACAAACACAGCATTGGTTGAAAGCAATGTAGAACGCGGAACCAAAGTTGCAGTTGAACTTGCCAAACTGGAAACGGGGCGTCCTCTTGAAGGGAATCGGTGAGATAATTGTGTAACTAAATTGTGATTGGAAGCGCTGGCTGATTTGCTGTGATATTTTGCTACTCAGACATATGTCAGGTTATTTGGCAACTGCTTCGTTATCGTCAGAGTCACCTCCAGCTCAAGATGCCCTCAAACCTCCTAGTCCAGCAATAGCTGATCTCGAGCGACGCCCAGACAAGGTGGAGAAGACCAATGTATTAGTCGCTGGATCGCTTGCTATAGACTTTGCATGCGATTATACGCCTGCATCACAGAAAGGTGATGGCATCCCTGCTCTGCACACATCTAATCCATCAATCATAAGACAAAACCTCGGGGGAGTCGGCCACAATGTAGCTCTAGCTGCAAATTACGTCGGCAGCTCAGTTCTCTTGTGCAGTGTCGTCGCGGATGATTTCAGCGGCCGCGCAGCTCTTGCTGCCCTGGAAAATAGTCAACCCAACTTACATTCTCAAGGCATTCAGGTACTTAGTCCAGCTACTGGCTGCAGGACTGCGCAATATGTTTCTGTCAACGACGCGAAGAACAATCTAATGCTCGCCATGGCTGATATGACAATCATGGAAGCACCGCAGCAATCCCTTGATTTCAACGCCTTCTGGGATCCTCTCATCCAGCGGGCACGACCAAATTGGGTCGTTATCGATGCGAATTGGAACCCAGATGTCATCTCGAAGTGGATTTCGCTAGCGAAATCCAACGGCGCCAAAATCGCATTTGAACCAGTCTCCGACGCAAAATCCACCCGCCTCTTCACACGCTCGGTTTCAAACTTAAAATCGATCATCCAGCCATCATTCACAATTCCAAACCACACTATCGACATCGTGGCCCCTAATCGCCACGAGCTGACAACCATGTATACAACAGCCCGGGAATCTGGCCTCTTCGAAAGCGCTCAATGGTGGGAAGTCATCAACTCCTTAGAGATGCCCAGTAGTGGCTCGCGTGATCGACTGGTCTCGATCACGAACTCTGAACTCGTCGACCAAGGGATCCCCCAGCAAGCCATTCAACTTCTTCCCTTCATCCCGTGCATAATCTCCAAGCTCGGCCCGCAGGGTGTGTTACTTACTCAGATCCTGCCGCCTGGTGATGCGCGGCTTCGTTCTGCGGATTATGCACGGTATATTTTGGGCAGATCCTATGCCGATGGCAATAACAGCCCAATCGGCGGGGTATATATGCGTCTCTTCCCGCCGGCGGAAGTCTTGAAGGATGCGGATGTGGTGAGTGTTAATGGGGCAGGGGATACGTTGCTCGGAGTTATTGTTGCGGGGCTTGCACAGGGTGAAGGGAGCGATGATGTCGGGTTAAGGAGGTTGGATGATATCATTTCTGTCGCGCAGCGGGCTAGTGTGGAGACACTGAAAAGTGCTGATGCGGTGAGCGCGGAGATTTCGAAGCTGGTAGGATCGTTGCAATGTATATAGGGCCTAATCAGATACCAAGTAATAGAATAGGGATAAATTGCCCTAATTTTTCACACACATGTATATACTTAAATTAGCACTAAAATACATGTCTCAAATTTAGATACCCATGCAGTAATTCCAGTCAGTGCATAAATTACTTCATTTTCATAAATTCGTACCTTCCGGAGGGGGTAGGTGCGGCGTCCAAGTCAGCATACCTTCCGATTAAGTCAAAGCACATCTGCCCTCATAGCTTTGAGTGTACTCATATCATTCAGGAATGGGCCACGGAGACTTTGAAACGACAAATACGTTAATCTGCGTATTCTGAGGCATCACAAGGCCTGGGAGTGGAACAGGTGGTCTAAATGAACGACGTAACCTTCCAACCAGTCGAACTCCTCCGCGGCTACCTTCCGCGTCTTTCAGCTATAATCATATCCCTCTCTGTGGAACTTCAACTGCAATTCAACAACCTGTGGTTTAGCATGCTGTTAAACCAACTTCTTGGACAGGGTCATCATCATCGCCAATCTTTGATTAGCTCATTAGATTGCTGCGACTCCTCATCAAACACCTTCCATGCCCCTTCAGCATCCACCACAGGAAGAGCATCAACATTCCGGTCACTGGCACTCTTGTCATCTCCCTCCTTTGCGTTACCATTAGTCCGTGCCACTCCGTTGAACCCAGCCGGAACATACTTCGGGTCCAGCAGGCCCAATTGGACAAGAACACTAGCCTGGTCCCAATATACATTTTCATGACAAAGTTTGTTCCCGCGAACAGTAACTATGCTGACGAGTGCGATGGCAACTTCTTTATCAGTTGGCGGTATCCCGGGGAGCATCCACGGGATTTCATGCGTGTGTCTGAACGTAACGAACATTTCATCCACGATCCGATTAGTGCCCACAGTCCGGGAGATGAGGCGTACATTTAGAGAGGGTGGGGTTCCTGGAATGAAGTAGTCTGCGTAGAAGCGAAATAGCTCATCACTACCGAATCCTGTGCAACGAAAAGAGTCAGTCAGCTTCGCGCGTCTGATTGATCAGACCTCGTTCAGAAACTGATGATATTTAGCACGCCGAGGAAGCTATTGCACAAACATACCCCCAGTCATAGTAGGTACAAAATTCACATACGAGTCCTCCGTCATCGTCTGCACCGCCCCCATCGCATCCTTTCTGGAATATAGCATATCGATATGTCGCTCCCACACTGGCTCAAGGTCCCGA